AGCGCCATGATTAACATTATAATATGAATTAATATATCATCGCTGTATCATCATCATCGTTGACATCATTAACTTTTTTTCATCTAACTTTTTTTCGACATCATTATACTTTCATTACATTTCCTTTAACTATATTTATTTTTAGCTACACCTATTTTAAGCTTAATTTTTCTATCAAGTTTCCACAAAACAGCTTAAGAAAACATACTGTCTGTAACTTATTCTTACTCCTAAGTCAATCTCAAGCATACTTATTATAGAATATTTATTAGAATTAATGAACTATACTTTAGATATAATAATAAAACTTAAACACTGTAATATATATATGTATAATAGATAGGGAAATACTCAATGCGTCTAAAGAACAACTAAATGTTCGCAATATCTTAACACAAACAAATATCTAAACACAATAATCAACATTATTACACAACTAAAAACAACAACAACAACAACAACAAAAACAACAACACAACGCACCGAGACACCATTTAGCTAAAACATTTCGTATTAAAAAAAAAACACTTTCTTTATCAGCGAAGTGAACTTGGCCTCCGAGCTGATATACGTAAATGGTGCCATGAAATTTTTGTCATGCGTTGGCTTACCATTCATATGCCATGCGGAGGAATGGAAACGGGGAAAATCCAGAGGCATGATGTCTAGTTGATGACATCGGTTTCAATCACAGTGATGGACGGGAAGATGATCATGCATGTACGAACATACGCACATACCTGTCTATTTACATACGCACCTGCAAACACATACATCGATATGTGTGTATGTTCACACGTAAGAACAATCATAGGAATAAATATGTGTTTAATAAATGTAAGTTTGACATACATACAGACACAAACACACACACACACACACACACATATATATATATATGTGTGTGTGTGTGTGTGTGTGTGTGTGTGTGTGTGTGTGTGTGTGTGTGTGTGTGTGTGTGTAAGTATATGTACACACACACACGCATATAATTTACATACATTACCTACCTTCTCCCCCCCCCCCCCCGGCACCTCAGGGAGTAGAGGAGGTCCCGGATGTGGGATGAAAGAGCCTGGATCGGAGGGGGGAGGGGTGGGGGGAGGGAGACAGACAGACAGACAGAGCTGAGGGGGAAGGGGGGGAAGGGGGGGAAGGGCATACCATCACCATTCCCTTACCTGAAACATAAGAAAGACTCGCATAAGACACAGAAACCCTTAACATTAAACGTAAACATGTTATATAAGTTTTTTTTTTCTTTCCTTTTTTCCTTTTCTTTTTTTTTCCTTTTTTTTCCTTCTTTTTTTTTCTTTACGAGGTTGCCGCTCGTCTCACCTTTTACCTACCGTGTTAAAAACCCCGTCGTCTGGTTCCACTGCTCGCGCTTAAGATAAAGTGTCGTTTGAGGTTATAAGGAAGGAAGGAAGGAAGGAGGAGGAGGAGAAGGAGGAGGAGAAAGAGGAAGTGGAGGAGGAGGAGGAGGAAGAGGAGGAGGGGAAGGAAGGAGGAGGAGAAAGTGGCGGAGGAGGAGGAGGGAAAGAAAGGGAGGAAGGAGGAGGAGGAGAAGAAGAAAGTGGAAGAAGGAGGAGGCAGTGGAGGAGGAGGAGGAGAAGAAAGGAAGGAAGGAGGTGGAAGAGGAGGAGGAGGAGAAGAAGAAAGTGGTGGAGGAGGAGGAAGTGGAGGAGGAGGAGGGGAAGAAAGGGAGGAGGAGGAGGGAAGAAAGGGAGGAGGAGGAGGAGGAGGAGGAGGAGGAGGAGGAGGAGGAGGAGGAGGAGGAGGAGGAGGAGGAGGAGGAGGAGGAGGAGGAGGAGGAGGAGAAAGAGGAAGTGGAGGAGGAGAAGGGGGGAAAGTGAGGAGGAGAAGGAAGAAGAGGCGGAGGAGGAGTGGGAAAGGGTAGGAGGAAGAGGAGGAGGAGGAGGAGGATAAAAAGAAAGAAAATGTAGATAGACCAAAAGATAGCGGGAGAGATAATAATTACATAATTACAATTGAATATATATACATTATTTTTTCAGTAAATAATTTTCTGATGATAACGATAATGATGATGATTAATAATGGTAACAGTAATAATAATAATAATAATAATAATAATAATAATAATAATGATAATAATAATGGTAATAACAATATAATTACTATCATTATCAATATAATCATCATTACCACTAGCAACAGTAGTAGTAGTTGTTGTAGTAATAACAATGGTAGTAATAGCATAATGAGATTGTAATAACAATAATAATGACAGGAATAATATCAAAAAGAGTAATAATGGTAATGATAGTAATAAACAGCAATAATGATAAGAGCCTTCCCCTTTTCCCTTTCCTCCTTCTGTTCATTATCACTCCCCTTCTCCCTTCCCCTTTCTCCTCGACATTATCCGTCTCCCTCACTCCCATCACCCTCTTTTCCATTCCCTCTCCCTCCCCTTATCCCCCTGTTCCTCCCTTCTCCCTCCCCCTATCCCCAGTTCGTCCCCTTCCCCCCTCAC